GTCCATAGTGCATTTTAAAATTATTATTTATTGAAGATTGATGTGGGAGGGCCCAGTTTGCTGTGGGTGGTGTCACACCTGAGCTGGTGGTCCTGGGTACTATAAGAAAGCAGGCTGAACTAGGCACTGAGAGCGAGCCAGTAAGCAGCACCCCTCCATGGCCCCTGCATCAGCTACTGCCTTCAGGTTCCTGCCCTGCTTGAGTTCTTGGCCTGACTTCCCTCAGTTAACTGTTAACCGGAAGTATAAGCAAAATAAAGCCTTTCCTCCCCAAATTGGTTTTGGTCATAACAATAGAAACTCTAAAACACCCCCAAAGCCACACACATTTAAAAGTTAACTTGCAGTGTCTGAGATCCCACTGTGGCCTAGTTAGTGTTAATTATCAATTTGACACAGTTTAGAATCACCTGAAAAGGGGGTCTCAATTGAATAATTGTCTCTATTAGGTTTGTTTATCAGGGATTATGTTGACGGTTAATTGATAGAAGAGGCCTAGCCCCCTATGGGTGGAACCATTCCCTGGGCAGGTAGTCTTGGGCTGTGCAAGGATGCTAAGTAAATATGAGCCGGAGAAGAGCTGGCAAACAGTTTCTCTATGACTCTTGCCTTAGGGTTCCTTCCTTGTATTCCTGCTCTGATGTCCTTGGATGTGACTTGGAAGTATAAACTGAATAAGCCTTCCCTAAGTTGCTTTTAGTCTGAGAGTTTTATCACAGCAGCAGAGACGGAACTAAAACACATTGTCTCTCTTTTCTTCTTTCTTCTAATATCTGGAGTGGGTCCACTAATGAAATGAGTACCTAGAAAAAAATCCTACCTTAGGATAGATAACCTTTAATTATAGTAAACAGATATCGTGGCTATTAAATTCGTGTGTGTGTGTGTGTGTGTGTGTGTGTGTGTGTGTGTGTGTGTGTGTATGTATATATATATCTTAATGATTCCTTTTATTTTGGCCAGGCATGGCGGTACACTCCTTTAATCCCAGTACTCAGGAGGCAGAGGCAGGCAGATCTCCATGAGCTCAAAGCCAATCTGGTCTACAGAGTGAGTTCCAGGACATCCAGGGCTACACAGAGAAACAAGAAAAAATTATTTCTTAGTAAAATGAGTATATTCTGATAAAAAACCACAGGAATTTATACCTGAAATATAGACAGAAATACGTTAACAGTACTTAAGAGGTTTGTTTTTCTTCGACCAAAGGAAGGAATCTTCCTTCTGCCTTCATTTTGTGTTTGTCTCCTTTCACGTTGTTTTACCTGCTTACATGCATGCTGGAAAGGGCATTCACGGCCAGCTCTGTACCCAGCATTCGCTTCCTTAGCGTGGTGGTTTGAATGAGATTGTCCCCATAGACTCATGTGTTAAAATACTCGGTCTCCAGTTGATGGAACTATTTGGAAAGGATTAAGAGGCATGGTCTTGTTGGAGGAGGTGTGTCTGGGCTTGGGCTTTGAGGTTTCAAAAGCCACATGTCATGTTTATTGCACTCTCTACCTCATGTTTATAGTTCAAGATGTGAGTTTTCAGCTGTTGTAGTAGCCACCTGCTGCCTGCTACCTCTGCTCCACCATCATGGACTCTTTTCTCTTCGGAGCCCTAAGCCCAATATAAACCCCTCCTTGTATAAGATGCCTGGATCACGGTGTTTTATCACAGCAATAGAAAAGTAACTACTGGACCTAGAAAATGGCTTTGTTTGGAACAGCAAGGTGCCCAATAAAGTCCCTCCCTTCTTAGAGTCCTCTGCTCAAACAGAGGGTCAAGGAGCTCTGTTGTGACCACGTGACATCAGTGGGCATCTGGGTTCCTGGCAGCACCCTAGACACATCTGAGAAGATGGAAGGCTTTACTTGCTTAGGCCACGGTGATCAGGTTTGGGTTGTGTGGAACCTAACACAGATCCAGATTGTTCAGAAGTGGCATCAGGTACCCTGTTTAAGATCATGGTCCTCTAATGAAGTGGACCTGGTTGGCAACCCTCTGTGACACAGCAGGTAAGTCACCCAGTCAAGCTTTTCTATACAATGGGAATGGTCCAATACATTTATTTTTGTGTGTAACTCTAGAGCCACCGCCTTGTTTTAGTTCGCCTTAGGCTTTCTCAGTTGTGTGCACTGAAAAGCTTGCCTGTGGAAACTCCTCCATGCCAGCTATAAGGATAGTTTTGGTCAACTTAAAACAGGCTAACCTACAGTATATGCTAAACCAAAAATTTATTCGATGCTGCCCCCTAGTGGTTGAGCGTACTGTCGCTCACTACAAAGACGTTTAGTTTTAAGGAAAACAGTGAGCCAGGAGGGTTGGAATAGTCCCTAACCATTTAGACTTAAATTTGTAAATGTTGCGACCCCATTGTTTTATTAATTTACTGACATCCTTCAACAAGTACGACATGGGGTAGGACTGCCACAGAGACCGCAGGGAAAGCCCCTTTCCTTGGCATCTCAGCCTACTTGTGTATGGTAATGCCCACTTGTGTATGGTAATGCCCACTTGTGTATGGTAATGCCCACTTGAGTATGGTAATGTCCACTTGTGTATGGTAATGCCCACTTGAGTATGGTAATGCCCACTTGTGTATGGTAATGCCTACTTGCCATTCCAGCACTGACACTGAGACGGGAGGACAAGTTTGACACTAACCTGGCCGGTATACTGAGGCTATATGAGAGAAGGTGGCGAGGAGGGAGGGAGAGAGAAAGAGGGGGGGGCAACACACACAACATGATACATGAAGTTTAAGTTGGGTGGGTAGGAAGGCGAGAATGGATCTGGGATGAGTTGCAGGATGGGGCTGCATATAACCAAAATATGTTATATGAAATCCTCAAATAGAGACATGGTTTTTGTTTTGTTTTGTTTTGGGGGTATTTTGTTTTGTTTTTGTTTTGGTTTTTTGTTTTTTGAGACAGGGTTTCCCTGTGGCTTTTGTGGCTGTCCTAGAACTAGCTCTTGTAGACCAGGCTGGTCTCGAACTCACAGAGATCCGCCTGCCTCTGCCTCCCGAGTGCTGGGATTAAAGGCGTGCACCATCACTGCCCAGCTAGAGACATGTTTTTTAAAAGGGCTAAAAATGCATGCCATGACACTCTTGAATCTGTACTCCCTCAAATGTACACGTGTACACACACCCACACATATCACACATAAAAAGATAATATGAAATGTATTTTTAAAGAGACTCCTTCTATAAAGTTTAATTTTTCTATTGTCTCTATAAAAATATACTAGTCTAATCTGTATTCTATAAAGAGCTGTCTGTCTCTAGCTACACATCTCAGGATGGAAATATCTCCAAGACATATTGCTGAAGATGTTAATGAAAAAATATCCAAGTTGTCGCTAAAGGTAGCAATTTAAAAATATATATATTCTTTAAACTTTTAAAAATTAATCCATTTTCGTGTGTTTTGCCAGAATGCATGTGCACCATATGCATGCCTGGTGTCCACGGAGGTCAGAAGGCATCAGATCCCGGAACCAGAGTTGTGAACTACCATGTAGGTGCTTGGAATTGAATCTAGGTCCTCTGGAAGAGTCTCTGAATCATCTCCCCACCCCCTCAAACTATATCCATAAAAGCAAGTTCTGGAAACAATAGATCTTGTTTCTATTTTTAAATTATCCATATTTGTGCATTCCTGTGGAAAAGTTCAGAGCGATGTTCGTCCAACAGCTCACAGTGGTGCCTCTGGGGGATGTGAGATGTACCGTATCTGAGGCTTGTCCATTTCCCTAGAGGATTTCTTAAATGATTTTTTTTTTGCATGTCTAATGCAGGTGGCCTCAGGCAGCTCCAAGATAAAGGCCGTCCAGTGGAGAGACCAAGGCATGATCAGGGGTGGAACTTTCAGCCCCATCCCGCAACCCTCAGAGATGGGAAGGGCCAAAAGACATATTGATCACCAATGGCCAAAGACAATCAATTATGTCTGTGCAATGAAATGGACAGGGTTTGGAGAGCTGGGCGGCTGTATATAGGGAATTAAGACTATGGCTCAGTAGGACAGTATTGGAAGATCTGTGCCGCTCACACACACCCCCACCCCGCCACACACACATGTATCTCTTCTTCTCCACTATCTCTGGTAATAAACTGGTGTTTCCCTGAAGCTCTGTGATAGCTCCAGCAAATTAAGCCCAAGGGATGGGTGGGTAGAGCGAAATTTATGGCTAGTTGGTCAGAGGCACAGGGAAATCCTGGCAGCTAAAGTGCAGTTACATTTGACAGTTCTGGGTACTCAACTGAGGGGTCTAACACCACAGGGACATGTTTCAGGACAGAATTGGAATGCATCCAGCTGCAGAATCATTTGCTCCCATTGTGTGGTGGAAAAGCCTACACACTCCCTCCCGCTGTCTGAAGTCTTCGGGGAGTGCACGGTGGGAGAAACTGAGTCTGAGGCCAAAGCTGAGACTTCTTCCCTATAGGGTAACTTCACTTTGGTAGTTGTTGCTCAGGATTACTTTCCAGAATGTATTCATTTTAAAATAAAAATATGAAGCTAAACATATACATGTATGGTCCCAGGCCTGTCGTGAGTGACACTATTAGATCGCTTCCAAGAATCTGAGGTCTGGGGATGTACTTGTAAATATTTGGCTTCATATTTTGTATTAAAATTAACCTGCTGTGGAATGGAGGGTTTCAGAATTCTGTCCTTAGCATTGCCAATGTCTTAGGACCCTTCACTTATACACTTTGATGTAGGCTCTTACCCAAAACACTTACTCTTACTAACAAATGCCATTAATTGGTGTTTTTTTAAATTCCCTCTCTTATTTTTAAATCTTCAAGCATGTTTAGCAGTTCTAAATCCGACAGCTTGTGAGTGGGCAAAAGAAACCCGAATTCGCTTTAAATAAGAGAAAGAGGGGGGAAAAAACTGAGCTCACCATTTTTAGCACTAAATAAAGCAGTTCAAGTAGAATTTAAATACAGTTTCTCCCTTGTAAAGAACTTGAGTGACTCAGATACACACCATGAGTTGTACAGGTTAAGAATTCTTCAAAAATTTTATTTCTACAAACAAAATGTGTTCAAATGCAACACCAGACAAGAAGGAAGAGAAAGGGCTGGAATGCTGGATGCTGGAGAATCCCCTGTGCATGGACCAGGTCTTCAGAACAAACTAGCACCATTAACCTAGAAACCAAGGGCTTAGTTGTAATTGCGCCTGATATAGAAAATACTTTAGAAACATTATTTAACTATCCAGTAACAAAGTTTAATTTTTAGAAACCTCTTTAAAAATCAATTGGAATTTGGCATTTGAAACTGATGAAAATGGTTTAAAAATGAACCCAGTTCTACAGCTTGTCAAAGGGAATGAGTCATTAGTTATTTATTTTTGGAGGGGGAAAATAGTGCCCCAATTCAGCTTTTGGCCTCCTTCCAACCACCAAGCAGGTGCAGCAAATCAAGTATTTCTACAGGGATAAGAACACATCTAAAACTGGTCTCAGAAAATATTTTCCTAGACTATAAAAATACTAAATGGAATACAAAAATTCCAGCCTATGAAGCCAATAGACTATAGCAGACAAATACCTAAAACACACTTAAAGCTATTTTGTGCCACAATCATCATGAGCATCAAGTATTGTGATCATTTCCTAGGAGCCTTCTGACCCAATGTTTATTTCCCCTTGAGTTTGTTACCACATCAGATATAGACCCAGTTCTGTGTTTCTACGGACGCTACCCAAGGACCTGCTGAACAACCTGACATTCAGCTGGCTCTCAAAGTGCCGGAAATGCAACTATAGCAGGCTGTTTTTAAAGATCAGGGGTCAGCAAACGCAGCCTGTGAGCCACAGCTGGCTACCACCACTTTTGTTTGGCCTGTGGAACACAGTCACACATGTCCATTTATGTATCGCCATGTCACCAGAGCACAGCTGAGAAGATGTGACACAGACCTTTAGGTGTGACCTTTAGGTCTGCAGAGCCTAAGATTCTGACCTTCTGGACTCTTCACAAAAAGGCAGCCAACTCCACTTTGAACTCATCGCTTGGGGAACATTTCCACTCAGTAAGGTTAAGGGTCGGAGATTAAGAAGATTTTGGCAGAGCTTTGCTGGTTCCATGGCAGGTCAAAAATACATATAAACTCGGACTGGCAACTTTGAGTACTGAATCTGATGCTAGCATTCTAAACTGCATATAGCTATGATAATGTACCTTTTCCCTCCCTCTGTGAACCAGCTATTTTGTACCAAGTGACATACTGTTATGTGCTTCCTGTGTGTCCGAAACCTTGGGCATGATCACCTGCCCTAATCTGCATCCATTAGAACTCCATACCATGATTTAGCAACAGACAGAACCAGCAAGAAAACAGTGCTGTGCTGAACACAGTTTAGGCCCCTTCCCCATGACACGCATCATAATAATTAGTACTACTGCCATCCAGGGCTACAAACATATCCCTTTTGACAAAGCGGACCAAGTTCTCAAGAGGACACATGGGCTTGGGGGAACGCTTGTGGAAATCATGGCAGAAAGAGGTATGGAAGGTGACGTCAACCCCGTTATAAAGAATCCGGACGGAATGTTCACTGGGCTTTTGACGGTCTTGCCAGAGCTCAAAGACCAGCCTGGCAGCGAACCTTGGGAACCTGGCTTCCAAAAGACCCAAGGCACTGAGAACTGGTGACAGAGTGACGTCGTGAGCAGAGTAGAGGGTGAACAGCTCTTCTGTCCAGCCTGCGGCAGCACGCTGCATCCGGTTGACTGTCTGATTCAGGATGGGGTGGGCCCCGAGTAGCGAATACCCAAAGTACAGGGGCTTCTCATGCCTCTCACGCTCATCTTCTATCTGGTGTGTCTTGATCACCTTGAAGTGCTCCATGCCAAGGCAGCCACTTCTGCTGCAGGGGAAGCTGACATTGTGGCAAAAGTGGCAGAGCATGGAGTCAATGGGGTTGGCTGCCCGGAGCTGCTTGGTGGGGATGTCCACAATCTTGGCCATCTCCCCATAGGTCCTCTCTAGGTCATTGTTCTTCAGGCGGAGGAGGTATTGCCGGCGCTGCTCCTTCTCCAGATAGTGGTTTCTCAGTGGGCAGTAGCAGCTTCCAGAACAGAACAGGGCACTTGGCTGGTGCTTGAAATAAATCTTCTTCCAGTCAAAATCCGGGAGGAAGCCGTAGAGCAAGGCCAGCCCACTCTGAAGGGTGCGGCTCTTCCCAGTGGTCTCTAGGTAAAGCTGCTCTGAGGACCAGTTGTTTGGCAGGAGTTTGTGTTTCCTCAGATAGATGTCCCTCAGCAGCTGGCCATTCTGCAGATGCTGCACAACTCCTGCAACACCAGGGACATAGAGGGGACACAGAATCCTTCTTACTAAGAGTTTAGCAAAGGACCACGAAGGACCAGCACCTGTCCCTGGTGTGTTTGAGAGCAGTGGGAATTAAGGGAATATGGCCTGTTTCCCCACAGGGAAGTAGAAATTAGAACGGGTTTGTGCACAGGCATGTGGTGTGGAGAACAAGGCTTTGTCTCAAGCTCCCTACCCACTGGCTGTAATTTGCATCTACCCAAGGGTAGGTGCATACACACTGCCCCAGAACATAGCAGTCTGTGGGCAGGGATGGCGACAGAGATCTGTCTTACCATCTGCTGACGGTTGGGACACTGTCTTCTTGACCCTGTTTCCGTTATAATGCCCTACTGAAGGCCCTCCGTTAATCTCTGGGGCATTCTGTCTGGCCCAGCAGGGGCTTTCCAGGCTAGGCCAACTAGCTCATACTTAGTAATTTCAGAGATCCAGATAGTATTTTTAGGAGCAAAAGGAAGACGGTATGTTTATTATACTCCTTTTAAATGAAAAAGAAAGAACAAAGAGCGTGTGTCTACAGTTGCTTGCATTTTACCTAAAGAAGCTTTGGACGGATGTACGAGAGAGAAGTCAGTGGTGACTGCTTCCCAGAGGAGGGCATAGAAGTGAGGCGGGAGGGGGGGGAGCAAGGCTTGTGGTTCCCTTTAATACTGTCTTGGCTTTGGACCACTGGAGGACAACAATGAACAAACTTTTTAAAGAAATGGGAAAGCTTTCTTTGTGTGAAAGAGAGGGCAACTCAAAAGAAAAGAGCAGGCTTGCCCGTCAGCCTGCAGAAGGTGAGGGGCGCCATTTCAGCAATGGGTAGGGATCCTCTGAGGATATGGTCACACATCCACACGCAGTGTGACAGGTTATACACTGATGTTCAGGTGTCCAAATGGCTTGGAGAGTTCCATCCCCAAATGAGGCAGGCACTTTCACCCGATGAGCTATCTCGTCTACCTCCGACATACCCCTATGTAATAAGATGGAATAGGGAATTGTGGGGTCACTAAGAAACCACCGCATGCGCGCAGGAAGAAAAGTTAGCATTAAGGGTCTGTTTCTTTTTAAGTAATTTTTTTCAAAAATGTATCCTTATTTTATATGTATGTATGTATTTGTCTGCATGTATGTATGGGCACCAGTTGTGTGCCTGATGTCCAAGGAAGTCAGAAGAAGGTGCCAGATCTCCAGGAACTGGAGTCATAGATGGTTGTGAGCCTACATGTGGGTGCTGGAAACCAAACAGAACCCGGGTCCTCTGCAAGAGCAGCCAGTGCTCTTAACCGCTGAGCCATCTCCCTAGCCCTTAGTCTATTTCTTAGTTGGGACTGTGGTACTTTCTTCTGATTTATTATCTTTTGTAATTTACACTCATGAACACTGATGCTTCTGTAAGAAGAAAGGTTACTTTTCTTTTTTATTTTGTGTGCATATGTGTGCCCACATGCACCACAGTGTGCACACGGAGGTCAGAAGATGGTTTGCAGGAGCTGTTTTTCTCCTTCTACCATTCGGGACCCAGGGATTGAACTCAGGTCACCGGGTTCAGCAGTAGACCTGCTGAACCATGACAGCCGTCTAACCTGTAAAGTTGTCTTTAATTTTAAGAAAGCAGATGTTTCATCAGATACCATGGGGCATCTGAGTTCCTTGAGATGCCAGTCCATATGAGTTAGATCAGAGGACCAACCTTTCCCTAGGGCACCGAGGCAGGAGTTTAAGCACTACCGTGCAATGTTAAATGCCATTAAATGCCATTAAAACCCTTATTTGAGTTCTGTTAAGTCTTTATTAAGTTTATTTGAAACAGCCTTTTAATGCTCTCTGAGATGACCAAAGGTCAGGAGCAGGCTGTCTGATAGGCTCGTCCTCTGTGCCTGGCAGCCTGGAGCAGGGAACTGCCAGCCAAGCACCCCCTTCCTGGTGACTGACCAGATGACCCTCAAGGCAGCCTGGATGCTTTGGACACTTTACAGTCACCCTGAGGACACTCCAGCAGCTTCAGAGGACCACTACAAACACAGCTGAGGACAGTCTGCGCCAGCCTTAGGAAGCAGCATCCTTAGCAAGACAAGCCTTGGTGAACTCTAACCAACCCTGCAGCCATTTTCTCAGGACAGGGCTTTTCCTGGTGGCCCAGGAGAAGGTCTGTGACTGGTACAAGAAATCCTTAATTTGTGTGTGCGCGCGCGCGCGTGTGTGTGTGTGTGTGTGTGTGTGTGTGTGTGTGTGTGTGTAATTAGTGCAAACATGTTTGCCATAGTGTGTGTGTGTGTGTGTGTGTGTGTGTGTGTGTAATTAGTGCAAACATGTTTGCCATAGCCCTCTGCTGGCTTGATTTTCTAGTCAGCTGGGCTTCTCCTGCACTGCCTCCAAGAAAGGGCCTCTGGACAGCCTTCTCTGGTCAACTCGGATGCTTTGTTGTTGCAGCAGCAGTGGACAAGGTGGCAGCTTAGCCATCCTGGCTGTGGCAACTGCTGTGGGGACAACAGCCGAGGAATAGAGAGCAGATAAGAGAGGATAGAGAGCTGAAGAAACAGACTGTGAGAGCCATGGGCTAGAAACTGGGGGCCAAGGTTGCTGGAAAGTTCCAGGGAGCTGCCAAAGCTTAAGGGGCCTAGGGTTCCAGACACGCTGGGTGTGACTGTTGTAACACTGTCCCTTAAGGGAGGGGGTCCTAGCACCCCCAAGTGGTTTGTGAGTTCTAACTCTAGAAGGCATCATTTACAGCTGCTTTGCTCGTTCTGCTGCTGTTGCAGCTCACTGCTGCTGGAAGCTGAGGACGATAGTGTCTGCCAAGTGCTTGGGACTGCTAGTGAGTAAGCCCAGAGCAGCAAGTTCTTAGTTTTTAAGGCTTTGGGACAACCGCTGTGTTTGCCATACCAGTCCCTGGGCTCTGGGTATTCAGGGCTCAGGACTGCCAGTCTGGAAAAAGCTTCCCATCCACTCACGATTTCTATCTGGGTATTTCCAGGTCCCCACACAGCTCAGTGTCCCATGACACTTTATCTGTCATCTCTTAATGTACATGGACAGAGGGACAGGTGTGAGGGCCAGAGACCAGTTGGCTATACTTACCTGTCTGTGTGAGCTCTCCCATCTCGCACAGAAGATGGTTAGGGTAAAGAGGCAGGGAATTTAAGGGGCTTTCAAAAGAGGCTCCGGATCCTTTTGACATGTGACTAACGAAAGCTTCCAGCTTAGGGTGATAAGGCTTCCTAAAAGGACAACACAGAGAAGCAGTGGTTAGAACACTCCGAAGCGCTCAAACTTCAGCACTCACAACCCAGTGAGCTTCATGGCCTCCACTGCCTACAAGAACAGGTTCTGGGGCTCAGCAATTAAGTTCCAGTGTCAGGGCCAGACAGAGGGCTCAGTAGTTAAGGGTACTGGCTGCTCTTCCAGAGGACCTGGGTTCGATTCACAGCACCCACATGGCAGCTCACAATCATCTGTGGCTCTAGTCCCAGGGGACCCAATACCCCCTTCTGTGCTCTGGGGTGCACGGACATATAAGCAGGCAAAATACCACAAATAAATTTTTTAAAAAAGGAAAACTATTTTTTCACAAAGGTTACAGTTTCATTCTGACCTGACCATGGGTACCTATCGGCACGATGGAGGTCAGCTTGAGTCCCTACCTGCTGCTGACTACAATGCCTGGGATGAGGCATTACCCTTCACCAGCGTGCCCCGCATCCTGTTGCTTCTGGGTCACAGGGTAGGTAGGAAGCGGCCCTGATTTCTTCCTTTCCTACCCTAACACTTGTCGTCTTGTGGACTCTCCCACCATTGTTTCTTCATCTCTTCTCCATCCTCACACTGCCACTCCCCGGGTTCTGACCTTAGACAGTCTTGTCTGGATGGCTGCAGGACCCTTCCTGGCCTTCCTCAGTTTACCCTGCCCTTCTCTCCTTGCTTTCTCCACAGCCATCGGGACCAACATCAAAGGCATCAACTCTCACCTGTCACTGCCTTTTCACGTAGCCACCTTGTGGAAAGAGGTGTGCACAGCTGGTTCCTTTGCTTTAGGAGCCCTCACAGAGACCCCCTTCCTACTGACACGGCGTTCTGGCTGCGCATAGCCGGCCAGTGTCCTTTCCCCTAGCATATAAAACATAGATAGATTCTACCTATCTCTACCCCCTTTTTATATATCCTCATGGGAGATCTGTCTAATCTTTACTGTTTCTGACCTCTGGAAAAATGCCTCTTTAGAAAACCATTAACTAAGATAACCAATGCCTATCTCAACAGCCCTGTACAGATCACTGTGCATTTTGCACATAAAATATCTTGTTTAATGCTACATGGTGATGAATGCCTAGAAAAGCTTATGGGATCTGATTATTATTCTGTTACACAGAGTATGTATGGTAAGGACAAGCACACTTTATTTATCCCATCACTAATATACAATTTCCCTAGATAATGGTATGAGTAGCACACATTTGCTCTTCATAACAAAATGACACGCACTTTTTCTCTGAATAGTGAAATGGCCCACGAGTGTGTCTACATTTTCCAGCTGAACAGACGTGGACAGATATGGCCACTGGCAAGAAAACTGCATGCAAATTGGCATGAAAGCAGCAGATAAACTGTTCTAAAGGCAAACCCTGCTGTCTAAAAGCCCAATTAACTTTGGAGATATTTTAAAAACTGACGCCAAAATGGATTTACATCTTTCAAAAACAGAAAGCTGAAAAAAATTTCATCTTTTAAAAACAATGTTTTAAAATTAGAGTTTGCTAATCTAGACATGCAGCGGAGGGAGTCTAATAGAGCCCCGGGATAGCTGCAGGGAATTGTGGCTCATAAAAACAGAGCATATTTTATTCCGCCTGAGGCTGAGCACATAAATGTTTATAAACTAGGAAATAAAATGTCCAGACCCACAACACGGCTGTCAACATGAATTCACATCAACAAAGGCTATCCATCAACTCGACTCCAATCTCCTGTTCTGGGCCATTATTTGAGGTTGGTGACGTCTGAGGCTCTGAAAACACTTGGCTGCCAATTTTAGAAATGGATTTTCACTACTGAATGTGTTTGCTGAGATGTCCCAGGTTCCCGGGGCATCTGACTCTTTAATGATGCTGTCCTATCTAATGTTATTCATTATGACTTTCTTTTCTATGTTACAGCATTGGAGATTGAATCCTGAGCCTTGAACTTGCTAAGCATGTCACACATGCTCTGCCACAAAATCACACTCCAGTCCCTTCATCACAACTTTTTTCATGAGATAGAAATATGAAGATTTGTGGAAGAAAAGCATTCACAGGGCAGATAACTAATGGCTGTATCTTTTTCATGGTAGGAGGGTTAGGTAGCTGAGTCTTTGGGACCAGACCTGAATCCCACTGCTCAGGTCTTCATGCCTCATCCCTAGCTCCATCCCTGTATCCCAGAGCATATCTGGCAGATGCTCCAAAAACATGTGGGGATGAATTCAATGGTGACATGTCCCATTCTTAGCTGTATTGTGAAAACACCATATCCACATCTTAACTTGAATATTTTGTCATCTCAGAAGTTATTTAAATATGTAGATTTTGGTGGGAATGTTAAAAACAAAGGCTGGTATGAGGTGAGGCTATAGTTGTATATCAAATTCTATTATTTCTTCTTGGCAATTTGTTTAGCGCCCACCACTGAGGTATGCACACCACTCGAAGGTTTCAGCACCTTCCTGCTTGGTTCCTTTCTCAGACAGCTGTTTAGGCACAGCAGCATCCCGGGCCAGCTGTGGAGACATCTCTAGACGAGGAGGAAGCAATGACCTGGAAGGAACCTCCTTCTCAATGGCTAGATGGGGCTGAGTGGCATGAATCTACCTTCGCACAAGGAAGAGGTAAACTTCCTCGTTTAGGGCGCGGCACCTTTGAGTCCGCCTCAATATAACTCACATGACGGTGGCCTCCTTGGGAATCTGCTTTTGTGTTGACAATCGAGACAATAAAAAAAATATTCCTTCAAGTATTTACTTTGGAGTTCTTGTATACATCTTTATATGCACCTTTCAAATATACTTATCCTACAATGCCCAAGGCAGAATCCCGTGGCCAATCACACACAAGAGAAAACAGACTGTTTTAGCTGTGACCTGGGTTCTGCTGGGATGGTTACCTGAGCCAAGACAGCAAAGCTGCTACTGTATAATTTTAAAGGCTCACCTGGATGGAAACCAGAAGGAATTCATGCCACATCTGAAAAACTTAAGCCGACTAAAGGATGGATGATTTCCAATGTCAACAAAACAAGCTTATAAAAAGACAACCCTGATGTACTTTCTTCAGGGTGATTTCCTGGGCCTTTGTATGTAACCTGGTATGACCAATTGTCTACTTTCCTCACGCCCACAGGTTCAGCCTGAGACCACTCCAGTCTCATCTACTGTCCACATGCTAAAGAGGCTCAAATAAACCAGCATGCCAATGCCCCTAAACCTAAACCAGACAGCCCCACCCAGCAGAAACTCCCCCAGCATCTGGAGATAGCTCAGAGGCCACGCCGGAGCCTGAGCCATAACTTCTTGCCAGGGCTCTTGGCTCCTGGAAGGGACAGCACATCAGCAATGTGCTTCCTCTTTCTCATGCCACCCAACCTGTCATGTGGCTCACCCATCCCACCTGACCCTCTTCAAGGTCACCCCTCCATCTCTGAGGCCATTCTCTGTCGATTTCTCAGTTAATAACAAATATTTGTCCTAGGTATTTGGTTGGTAACAACAATGGCCAAGAATAAGAGAAATCCATGACTCAGGGGAGGGAGCTTCCATTTCAGCCTGGGGAAACACACTACACAAGAAACGCTTGTGTGTGCATGTATGAGAGACAGACACACACTCACACACACACACAGAGAGAGAGAGAGAGAGAGAGAGAGAGAGAGAGAGAGAGAGAGAAAGAGAGAGAGAGAGAGAGGGAGGGAGGGAGGGAGGAAGAAAGAGAATAACAGGTGCTATGGCAAAAGAAGGAGGTTGGAGTTGGGGAGGGCACCCTGTCATTTTTAAGTATTCTAAATAGAACTTACAGAGGCGATGACCTAGGAAATAAGAAATGGTCATAAGGCTGCCTGTGTAAGTACCTCCTAGAGAGAGGAGATGGTTGTGCAGTAGTGTGCCCAAGCAAGTAAGCTTACCTCCAAGTAAGCTGGAAGAAGGGTGAGGAGACTTGTGGTGTTTTGAATGAAAATGGTCCCCATAGGCTCAAAGGCAGTGGCACTATTAGGAGGTGTGCCCTTGTTGGAGCAGGTGTGGTTTGCTGGAGGAAGTGTGTCACTGGAGGAGGTCTTTGAGGTTTCAGAAGCTCAAGTCAGGCCTAGTGGCTCACTCTCTCTTCCCACTGCCTGCTGATCCAGGTATAGAACTCTTGGCTTCTCTAGCACCATATCTGCCTGTATGCTGCCAAGCTTCCTGCCATGATGACAACGGACTGAACCTCTGAACTGTAAGCCTGCCCCAATTAAATGTTTTCCTTATTAAGAGTTGCTGTGGTCACGGTGTCTCTTCACAGCAATAAAACCCTAACTAAGATACTACCCTAAGCTGAGTTGGGTAGCTGGCTCAGGCCCCAAGTGTGCTACCAAAGCCTCTTCCTTTGTAGTTTTCCTTCCATTTTCTTCTCTTCTTTCTCTGCTAAAATGGCCACCTATGCTGGCTTCCACTTGCTGGGGACTGACCCAGTGAGCATGAGACCTGGCCTTCCAGATACAAGTGGCTCACTGAGGGCAGGATAGCCCACCTGCTGTGACGCCTCACATGCTCACTCAGCGGTTCCTTCTCCAGGCCAATCACACTGCTCTAGTGTTACTCATGCATGCCCAGCTCTGCAAGCGGCAGGCCCTTTGCACTTTCTGGTCCCTCCATCTAGAACATTCTCTCCTCAGGTCTTCACAGGACTGGCTCCTCCACTACACTTATATGTCTGCTGGTGTGCTGCCATGCAACCTGGTCCAGGAAAGGAGCATAAATCTAAAATTTGGCATGTAAATGCTTGAAAGAACCATTTTTCTTCTCGGATGTAGAAATGCATGTTCATCTTTATGAATGCCAAAAGGGCACTTAAAAACATGGCACTCACATGGTTAATACCTTTAATGCTGAATAACTCTAATACCAGGAGAGTGCAAACAGATCTCTCAGCACACAGCACTCATGGAGGAGCAGCTTCCACTACAAAGACTATGGTGTACAGCACTATGCATAGGAACTCTGAGGCAACAGACTTATGTGGGCACATCTAACTCCCGCCACTGGACCAGACATCCCCGTATGATGGACTAGAGTAATGGGTACCTTCCAGGCCTTATTACCAAGCAGGAAACCACAAAATTACTAATTTATGAGCTAAAAGAGCAGCTGGGAGGTGCTGCTGGCCCAGAGCAGGTCCACACACTGCTCACGCCTTCTCTAAGTACACGTTTGCAGTGATAAGCCAACTCTCACTGTGTTTAAAGATGGAATTAATTAAACGATGTTAAATAGAGTAGAGACTCCTCTTATCTGAGGAGGGTGCTGGAAGCCACAGATAGCCGGAACTCTTGCATCTGTGGTGTTCTTTCCTGTGCAAACAATACCCACGATAGGGCTTCATTTCTAAGTCAGGCACGGTGAGAGATTACATGACCAGTGATAAGCTAGAGCAGGTTCCACCACACATGGCAGCTATGTGAATGGAGTTTTCCATTTGATGTGACAAGTACCAGAGGCGGAGGAAAATGGAGGAAAAGTCAGGTGGAGGAAGAGAGCTGCTGTAGTTAAACATCTGCACTGTGTCCTCCCCCACAAAGGACTTAGGACAGCTGCTGCAAACACAAAATGAACACTAAGAAGCCAGGAGTGAGGCTGCGAGGGCAGCAGCTCCCAGGGACTAAAACTCCTCTGATAACGACCCCACCAGAGGGAAAGAGCCTAAGTCCAGGTGACCTCTAGGCTGCTGTAGGCAATGCCATGCCACCGTGGATGAAACTTCTGTGTGGACTAGGCCATATACATGTCCCCTCCTTTATTTAGACACTTAAGGTTGATATAGGAAGGCAGGACTGTCCCTTGTTCCAGGATGGAGTTTAGTGAGTGGAGCTGGCTTAGAGCTGGGGCAATGATGAAGGGTGCTGGTTACACTACTTTAACCCTGTGGTTTGACAGCAGGAAAGGCCTCTCAGAAGATTTGCTTTTTCCACTGGGTACAGAAGGGTGTTGTGTTTACAGCTGGTACTAGCTGGATGTCAGCCCTTCTAACAGCCTGGGGACAGGTCACCTGGACTCTCAGAGGGGAAGCAATCTGCCCAGTGTCAAACAGGTAGCAAAGGCTTCAGGGATACAATGGCCGCGGCTCAAATCCATCAACAGGAAGATGGTGACAGGAACATACAACTGGCAATGTGCCCTGTGATCCTCACAGAGGTTATGAATTTATTCTGCAGCCACCAAGTCCAAAAGCTGTCATCTTTTGGGCTCTGGGCAGGGCTCAGTGATTTGTGAGCAGTCAGGCCCAGGGAGGGCAGAGCCAGATCCCCTTAGGACAACAAGTTGCAGGGTGCCCAAGCAGCCCTGACAATATACCCCTTTTTTGGGAACACTATAGTGACCCCATAGTGACTTTCTAGCAAGACTAAATTGGTCTGAGCTGAAGCATGAGACAGTCCACAAAGCCTTGAGGCTATGCTGAACCCACCTAGCACAGAGGCCCAGTGGCCTACCTGTCCCCAGGCTGTTAGAAGGGCTGACATCCAGCTAGTACCAGCTGTAAACACAACACCCTTCTGTACCCAGTGGAAAAAGCAAATCTTCTGAGAGGCCTTTCCTGCTGTCAAACCACAGGGTTAAAGTAGTGTAACCAGCACCCTTCATCATTGCCCCAGCCCTAAGCCAGCTGGGATGGTTTTTAAACTCGACTTCCTTGCTTGTTCTGACACCCTTCCTATATACCCCCAGCCCTCTACAGTGAGAGCTGGACACTGTCAGTTCCCCAGACAGCCACAGAGCTACCCCAGTGTTTCACACATGGGATGGGGGGCTGCTTCCTGGGAGAGGGATGTCTTAGTTAGAGTTCTATTGCTGTGAAGAGACACCATAACCATGGCAACTCTTTTAAAGGAAAACATTTAACTGAGGTGGCAGCTTACAGTTTCAGAGGTTCAGTCCATTATCATCATGGTGGGGCATGGCTGTGTGCAGGCAGGCATGGTGCTGGAGTTAAGAAACCTACATCTCAATTGGCAGGCAACACAAAAGTGAACTGAGATACTGGGCATGGCTTGAGCATATATGAGACCTCAAAGCTCACCTCCACAGTGACATACTTCCTCCAACAAGGCCACACCTCCTGATAGTGCCACTCCCTTTAAGGGCCATTTTCTTTCAAACCACAACAAAGAAACCTCTAACTGGGTCTTGAAGACACTGTGGAAATGGGGTGAACAGGGACAGATAAGTCAGCAGGGAGGCAGAGCCGGCACAAGCCATGAAGATGCTACAAGAAGTGGGGTGCTGGGGTGCAGAGAATCTTAGTGGAAAGTCTGAACACGAGGCTGGAGAGTGAGGGCTCTCATGGTCCCCTAACAGGAGACCCTAGGGGGTACACACCTTGACTACCCAATGCAGTAAAGAAGACACGATTCCCAGGCTAGCAGCATTCTAGTCTCTAGCATGAGAGAAGAATACACAAAACCCCATGGTCTTCCTACCTAAAATGCTTCACTGATTATTCCCCAAACTCCAGCCCATGAGGAGACTTTGGACATCAAGAGTTATCTGAAACCCTCAGATTTGTTGTCTTCAAAGAACAGCCCTGGCTGTAGACAGGAAATCCATGGTTCCACCGGGTTGGTCCTGCCCAGGCAGGCTGGCACCCCAGGACCATTCCATCAAAATAACGTCTTTCCCACTGGGCACATCCCTACATCTCCTGGTCTCATTCAGTAAGGATAGATGTTACGTGCCCCCAGACACACTGGCTACCGCCAAGCCATCATTTATTGCTAACTGTGCTTCTAATTTCCATACACGCAATTTCCATTCTCTGCTCAATTATTTTTCATCCTGAGGGCTTTCAACTAAGACAGCGCAGTCTCTAATGCTGTGAAAAATTAAATGGCTGAAATACTATCTTACACTCATTGCCTTTGCAGCTGCACACACTCCCTCCTGTGAATCGCCCCACTCCTCACCCCAACCCTGCATGGTGAGCTCCAACAGACTAAGGGACTTGCCTGCTGCCTCCATGGAACAGTTCTAGGGTAGATGACTCCTAAGCAAGTGCTCACTGTATCTCATCTTTCTGAAACTGAAGAACACAAGGAGAGAGTGGGCCTCAGGCTGAACTGGGCTCAGTGTATTTTCTGAGTTGCCTGAGATGCCCTCTCTGCTCTGGGCCTGTCTCTGCTCTCTTCTCCCAATTCAGACACACCCTCCTGCAGGGAGGAGAGAGGCTCACAAGAGTCAGGAAGCCAAGTGAACGTTAAAAGACATACAGCACTTAAGACTTGGCAGCTCAGAAAGTTACATGACTCACAAGGTCTCGTCCCTCCCGGGGTTTTTACAGCAGTAAACAACCACTAAGGGGGGTGGAAAGTGTGATGGAGCTGCCTGCCTGCTGTACATACAGGAGGCTTTCCCAGTCATCACCTACCGCAGGGGTCGACTTTTCAGTGAGGCAGCTGCCCCAATAAAATCACTGGCCCAGCAAGCGCCATGTGGGTGGAGTCGGTTTTTTTGTGTTCTGTCATCAGTGCCCTATCTGGCTTGAACAGATGTTTGTTTGTATCTTCCTAAAGGAAGACCGGGAAATACTCTGAACAGTTCACACTCACCAAAGCATAGTTCACCCCTCCTTCACACAGTGCTCTGTTGTACAGAACACGGCAGCATGCATGAAAACGACTCTTACAAAAAGTGCAATTTACCTGCCAGCCACTAGAGTGCAGTCGATTTCTGGTCGCTTTGTTTTGGGAATGGCATACAGTGGGTACCTGTCCCCGTGGCGAATGAACACATGAACCGAGACCAGCTTATAATGATGTGGGGCGTGACCTGTGAGAGAGACACAACTTCCAGTCACCACACAACAGTGTTATAGCGAGGGGGGGGCACAAGCCAAGGCTGGGGGACCGAGAAGCTGGTAGCCAGGGCAACCCAGAAATAGCAGGGCTGCTACTGAGGGATCTGAACTGGAGGAAAGGGCACTGTGCTGGGTGGGAGGGTGATGCTAGCTAAAGAACCCCTAAAGGTGGAACAGAGGGTCATGAGAGGGCTTGAAATGTCCCAGGACTCCCAAAGTAACTGGTGAGATATGCACATGACGACCAATGTCTCATAAACAGAGACTGGGGGAGGCTCACAGAATCCTAGGAATAGGCTTCTGCTTTAAACCCTTCAGGAAACACAGCAGGACACACCACCTTTTGATACACTTGAGGAAAGTGAAACGGTGGCGACACTGTTTCACACTCCTTTATAGCAAGACTAGAGTGGACATGTTAATTCTATTGCAGATTTACACTGAGACGCTGAGCAGCCAAGGGTACTACAGGCCAGCTTCAACCCCGTCTGCCTATTCCACAGCTCACCAGAGACCAGTCACCCCCACTACTCAGTAGAGTGGATAAAACCCAGGAGCCCATCCTGGGGCACAGGGAGTGGCTACTGCAGGAGTTGAGCCCAAGCTTCCAGCTTCTTACAACGGCATGATGCTGCTTGGAGAACTTAGTCCCCAGGATGTCTACTTGGGTACTGAGTCCCAGGCTACCACAACGGGCCATACACTGGGTCTACCTTCCATGCTGTGCTCGGCTACACTCGGAATGTTGCAGTACAGAAGAGCTTCATAAACCGGGTCTACCGTCGGGGGCTCTGTCACTGGGTCGGGCATGATCCTCTTCCGACTCTTGCTGCTTCCTCCATTTTTTGTTGTGGACACTGGGATCAGGTGGACTGCAAGGAAAGCAGAATGGACACGGAGGACGCCAGATCAGCCGCTGTGGCCCCAGGAGGGCTGAATGTCACTGTAAGCATTCGCTCCTTCAGTTACGGTGGACCTTAGTGGAACGAGAAGCCAGCCTCCCGATCCACAAGTGTACCTGGGACTTCCTGAGTAACAGGCCTCCCTTGGTGCAGGCGAGAAGAACTTATTATTCCCCATTCTCAAGTTCCCGGAACTAAAGGTGCACGAGGAGGACACAGCCCCTCTTCCCAATAAGCTTTTAGCTCCTGTAACTGTGTCAAGGGGAAAGATCATTGTCCACTGGTGCCTGTTAAGTGCTAAATGGTGTGTGTGTCACACCTCAATTAATATCATCCGACCACACTCTGTGGTCCCTAGAGCCCCATCTCTGCAATCTGCTCACCAGCCCTCAGGAGATTACTTCACACAAGAGAGCCTGAGACTGAGGTACACATGTGCAGCGAATGGACTGGGTCTCATTTGTCTGCCTGGGCTGGCTCCCCCCACCAGGTGAGGGTCATGCAATGTGCAATGGTTTGGCTATCTGGCATCCATCTTTCTATTGGTGAGTGCTAGGACCCATGGGAGACTGGCTGAGCTGATAGCGCTCCCGCCCGTTGGCAGGTGGACATATGGCCAGAACCAGGGACGGTAGTGACAGGGCAACCATAATCCTTTTTCTGGGCCAGGAGAGGCTCTCCCTGTTCTCTACCCAGCCATCTGTCTGTTTTTCCACAGTCTATCTCAGTAGTTCCCAGTCCTTCCATGATGATAGGGCAATTTTTTTTTCCAGTTTCACAGTTTCTAGAGACCCCTGCACAGTAGCAGTCGTATTTCCAACATCTGTTAGTGGAGGACATACTTGTAAATAAGTGAGCTTGCAAATCTAGTTAATTTCTAAGAGATTTACCACATATTTACTTATATTTATACATACACATATACCCAAACAATAGCTGAAACAGAGGCTAAACACTAGTCTACATTGGCTTAAATTCTCTAAATTCTTCTACATAAATACCTAAATACATAAAATTTCCCCTTGCCAAACATATGTGATAAACAAAAATGAAAGAGAGTGAATACACTAAGAGAAAAACATTTGCAACATACGTAACAGACAAGTGACTGATATCTCAAGCATAGAAGAGCACCACAACTGAAGATTCGGTGACAGATACGTGAGTGCAAATGTCAACAGCCAACAAAACATGAATGGATGCTCAAGTTAATAGCTATGGAAATACAAAAGAAAACCACTGGTGAGATGTATTTCCCCAGGTTAGAAAATCATACTTTAACAGTAACACCAATATTGACAAGGCGTGACACTTATACACACTGGAGGTGTGGGTGGAAAATGAAATCTTCCAGAAGGAATGTTTTTTACCTCATGCTATTCCTTGAAATCTGTTCTAAAAACATCAGTTCCCACACTCAAAGGTGGCCAAAGAGATTCACTGCAGTGGCGCTGGCAACAAAACCAGAGAACAATCTAAAAATCCATCATTGAATGAAGAGAATGTTATATTCAGAGTGCAGATTATTCTATCTGAACTTAAAGAACACAAAAAGAATCAAAGATAAATCAAGCGAAGTTGATGAGCCAAGTCACCAGGCAATAAATACAACCCATTTTGTGTAAAGGAAGGAAGAAGGGACAGAGGAAGGGAACTATAAATGAACATGTGTATTAGTCACTAGTCTGCTTGCTATGGAAACATGCCTGACAGAGTAGCTTCAAGAAGGGATTATTTTGGCTCACAGTTTGGAGGGATCGGTCCATCATGGAAGACACGATGGGGAGAGAGGTCAGGAGAGAGAGGTCACATTCCGAATCACATGTCAGGAAGCAGACAGCACTATATTAGTGCTCACCTAACTTTCTCCTTTTTCTTTGGTTCAGGATCCCAGCTCCACAAAAAGTTACCACCCACACTTAGGGTGTCTCTTCCCACCTCAACTAACCTACTCTGGATAATCCCTCACAAACATCCCCTAAAATGTTTCCATGGTGACTCTACATTCCATCAAACAGATAGCCAAGATTAATCCTTACAACTCTACCCCTTGTCATCCTGACAGCCAAATACATCCCCTTTAAGTCTAACCCTCTCACTTCTTATTGCCATAGACCCGCTGCCTCTCAAAATGCAAACTGCATTCAGTCCAACTTCCAAAGTCCCCGTAATCTTTAATAGTTCCAACACTCTTTGAAAGTTCAAAGTCCAAGTACCACCTGGGGACTCAAGGCCATCTCTTAGCTGTGAGCTCCTATAAAACAAAAAGCAAGTTACATATTACAATATACAACAGCACAGCCAAGATCCCCTGCCCGCTCAGGATGGAGCCTGGCCCCACTGGACCACAGCTGCATCAGCTTCTGTGTATTGACCCCGAGGCAACATTTTCCTAGGCAGTTGCTTTGAGAAGCAGGGAACCCCCTCTGCATCTTCTCACTGTACGTTCTCTTCTTTCAAATGGATTTGCATTTGCACAAGATATAGCCTATAAAGGATAAGGGCTTGTCCTCAGGACACCTTCCCAGCTGTTCCCGTGCACAGCAAGAGGTGACTCTTCATTGGTGATAATCCCCTTAACAATTATAGCTGCTACTCACCACCTGTCTTGTCTACAACTTTAAACTCCCTCCCTCCCCTGCCAAATGGCAATTTTTTCATCTTTTCTCCCCTCCACTTGTTGCTTCCCTCACCATAGACCTTGATAAAAGCAATGTGCAGTAAACTATGAAACTATCCCATCTTGAAATTTCCTTTCAGTTACTTTTAAAAGTCAACTCTATCAGAGTTCTCAGGACATGGGCAGAATGCAGCCAGATTCTCTGACAGAATACAACACCAATGGCTCCTGTGGTGGTTTGAATACAAATGGCCCCAGGGGCTCATCGAGAGTGGCACTGTTGGGAAGTGTGGCCCTGCTGGAGGAAGCCTGTCACTGGGGGAGGGCTTTGCGGTCTCAGAAGCTCCAGCCTGCCAGCGGTTCACTGTCACTTCCTGCTGTCTATGGGTCCAGATGTAGAACTCTCAGTCTTTCTCCAGCATGCCATTGTGTTTTCTGCCATGATGATAATGGACTAAACCTCTGAACTGTAAGCCAGCCCCAAGTAAATGTCTTCCTTTATAAGAGTTGCTGTGGTCATGGTGTCTCTTCACAGCAATAGAAACCATGACTAAGACAGCCACCCCAAAAGACAGCCCCTAACCCAGTTTCTCACAGAATCTTTGTTCCCCTCTGAAACCTCATGAGCCAGGCCACCACTCTTAGCAATCTGTCTTAGCTCTCACCAGAATGGTACCGTAAGAACCCTTAGTACTCAAGGACTTTTGTAACCCAAATTCTTCTACAAAGCAGTTCCAAAGGCCACGGAGTCAGATTTATCCCTGCAATGACCCCACTTCTCAGTACCAATTTTCTGTATTAGTTACATATCTCCTGGCTATGGCATATCATCTGAAAGGAGTAAATTATGGAAGGAATAATTTATTTTGGCTCATGGTCAAAGGAGATACATTCCATCATAGCAGGGAAGGCATGGTGGCAAGAGCAGAGGGCCAGCTGGTCACATTGCATCCACAGTTGGGAGACAACAAACGCTTGTACGTATCACCCTCCCTCCTTTGTATTCAGCCAGGATCCCAGACCATGGAATTAGGTGCCACCTGCATTTAGGGTGGGTCTTTACACCTCCATTAACCTACTCTAGATAGAAGCCCCACACAGACATGCCCTGAGATTTGATCCCATGGTGATCTTAAATCCTATCAAGTTGACAAGATTAACCATCACAGGGAGTATTCAGGGACATTTGCTCCCTATGTGACAGCCCAGCGGCATATCAGAAGATGTACCACAATGCCACGGTGCTGTCATCTGGGGGATGGAAGGAACGCACATGAACAAGTATTTCATTTGTTTTCCTACAAATATCTGTATCAATTTAACATGGATGTATTTATAGTCATTACAGATCACATGCATTCTATATCCATAAAAGCAAACATTAATTAGGAGATCTTGATATACATGGACATATCTACAGGCTTTACTGAAACAACAGTAAAAAACTTTTGGGGTTGGCCATTCCCCAGTTCAGGATTTGGCTGGAGCTGTAGCCTCTTTCTTCCCACACAGCTCAGATGCCTGAAGCTAAGTTTCTGTGGGGAGATGGGCAGCAAAGCAGATGTCCATGGTGGCTTCTTGATGGCTGGCCCTTTTAGCTGGGTAGTACCTTCAGTTCTTTGCTTTATATAGAATCTGTGGGAATCTGGTTCCTCAACTAGCTTGTAGCTCACTTGCTCTCAGCCTGGGCCAAGGCATGGTACGGTTAGGTAGACATATGAGGGCCATGAGGACAGAGTGAGTGGAACCCTGGATTATCCCAAAGCACAGGCTGTGAGACCTGTGGAGGTCACCTGGGAATCCTAACCAAGTGACCCATGCATGACTCAAGGAAGCAGTGGTTTGAAAACCACAAATGAAGATTAAGTCACGATCTAGAAAGATCTTTGCTGCTTCCTCTGGCACTGGGGCTCCTTCGTCTTGTCCATTATTCAGTTTGCTGAGGTGGCCCTGTGCTGTTCGTGACTGTGAGTCATCCAGACAATATTTCCACAAGGGACACTCTGAGGAGTCTCCCAGACACCAGGCACTCGAAGCTCTCAGGCACGGGTGTGTGTGTGTGTGTGTGTGTGTGTGTGTGTGTGTGTGTGTGTGTGTGTGTGTATCCCTCAACTCCATTTTCACCCTGTGGGCATCTGTGCTGCTCAGAGCCAACCTGCTAGCAGGCCTTGCTCATGGTTTTATTTGCTTGTAATTCTGCCACCCAATTCCTGTTGCTTGACTCTGCCAGGAGCTGCCTCCTTCAGGAAGCCACTCTGAGTTTATAAGTAGTTTCCACATCCCTCCCCCATAATAAGTTTGTCTAGTTTCTGCTATTAGGCTTATTCCAGAGTACATGTAAGCAGGAGTG